ATGCTTAGAGCTTGCTAAACTGAGTTCTGTCACAGTTGATAGAGTAGCTTTATAGAAATGATATATTGTACTTTGTCTGCTTTTAATGAGCGAGCGTCACGAGACTCACGCAATTTATTCACATACATATATATATGTATATATATATATATATATGTATATATGCATATTTATATTTGTATATATAATTACTTAAGAGCAATTAGTTAAAACAAACATGAAAACATTAATGAAATTAAAAACAAAAGAGAACTAAACTGATTGCTTGAATAAATGCGAAATGATAATAAAGAAGGGGATAAAAAGCGAAGCAAAACTTTACAAGAAAAGTGACTATTTTTCTAGAAATGTAAAAATTTGCAATTGTAAAATATATGAAAATTTTTATAACAAAATTTATATGAGTGTATCACTATTTAATATATAAATTCAAAATATTCTGCCTAGAGTTCTTAGACTACAAAAGTTTTTTCGTTTATCTATAAGCTAAAAAGAATTCTTCTTTATAAATATAATTATTAAATTAGAAGATCACATACTTTAATTATTTACTATGGACCTTTCCAAAAAAAAAGTTCATCAAAATATTCTGGCGAAATAGACAACCCATTTTGTCGAAAACCGCAAAATATTCTGCAGAATCCATGCTAAATGCGGATTCGGCATTTCAACAATTAGTAAGATCATCCTAATCCAAGCACAATAACATTAATAACACCGATAAAAACATATAGTAAATGTCGGCTCTTGATTAGCGCTAGAAACAAGCAAATCAAGTTGTTGTTACTGTTGAATTTGAAGAGAGATATGTCCAGTGTGTAATCGAATGAAAGAGATACGCCCGATGCGAGCGCTAAGTATGCATAATGAAAAGCCTGTAAATTGTAAATACCGTTTCTTTCGTTAGCTCCATGTTGACAGTATCTCTCTCTGTCTCTGCCTGCCTCCCCTGTTACAATCTCTGGCTCCTTCTGTCAATCTGGGTCTGTCACAGCTTGTGGCGGAAAAAGATTGGTGTAGAGCAGCAGCAGGTAGGCAGCCTTGAACTAGTTTTCAATTGCCGGCGATTTGGCACTCAAAAGTGAAATCCTGGTCCCCATACACGAGAGACATGTGTGATAGATATTTGAAAATCGCGCACATCAATTTTATTTGCACAGGTTTTTTTTTTTGCTTGTTTTGACTTTTTTTTGTGATTTTGTATAAATTTGTTTTATAAAATAACTTAAAAATTTAGTACTGTAATCTGGGTAATCTGTTGACTACGGAAGTTTTGTAGAAAAGTAAAGCTCAAATAAAAGTGAAGTATAGTTGATTAGGAGGCAAAGGCCTCACAGATTGTGCAAACGAATTCAGGCAACTCGCTGTTTGCCTTTCTCACTCTCACAGTCGCGTATGAACCGTTAACAACTTGTGCTTGCGTGCGTTGTTGTTACTGCTGGAGTCCAAGAGAGCGGAAAGTGAGTAAAGTTCGCGACTTAGCAGGCCGCGTGCGTCGTCGCTGCCAGAAAGACAAATGCAGACTGGCCACAGCAAATGCGGTGCCATCAAGTTTATGGCCAGCCCGCAGAGCGCTGCTGCGTCTCTGACTCAGAGAACGACTTCGTCTTCAATTTGCGACTTCGACTTTGACTCCGATTGCGACTGCGACTGCGACGATGACTTCGTGTGCCTTCGTGTGCGTCTTCGCTGGCGACTTCAACTTCGACTTCGTGTGGAACATGAATGAAATTATCAGTTATGTGTCGTTGCGGAGAGAAAAGTGAGAAAAAGCAGAAAGCGCAGCGCCACTGTCAGCGTCAGCGTCAGCGCAGCGCTGCATTTGCTTGCGGTTAGCAAAAGGCAACGGCACTTCAAGCCCCGCTCATTCGCTTATGCGACTCGATAAGGCGAAGCTAGAAAAGGGATAGTTGTTGATAGTTGCAGTTATTGTTGTTATTATTGCTGTTGCTGTTGTCGTCATTCTGTCATTACCCTATAAGTCGTTGCAATTGTTATGCCCATGAGGGTATGGCCACTATGCCTGGCAGTTGGGCAACAATTTTTATGTGCTTTAAATGCCAGCTTGCTGGGAATTCAATTTGAAATTCCTTATTTCTAATATCGTATACAATTTGACTATCTTAAGCAATCGGTAAAAATATGTATAAATAATCGCAAATATTATTTCTTTTATAATTAACTTAAATGCACATTTAAGGGATTTCTTAAAATTTATTTTTACTTCTTATTTTAAAGCCATAATTTATAATTTTATGAAATGTACTGTATAACAGATCAACTTTTTATCGCCAAGTACTATAAGACCTGCATATTTGCATATCGAAAAATCAGTCTATTGAAATTTGTGTCTCCCAAATTAACATGAACTTTAAAAACAATTGGAAAGCAACGTTTACTCATTAGTAATTTGTGTATGTTTAACTAACATCTTTAGAGTACTTCAACCAGTCGTCTTAACGTCTTCAACTCTTGTTTGGCATTAGTATTAGCCACTTGCTGTGCCGCTGACATTTTCCACATGCAATCATGCATAGAGAGAGAGGTAAACGTATGATGCATATTAGTTAGAGTAACTGGCATCTATCAGGTTTCCCCCGATGGTCTGTCAATTGTCTGCGCCTCGCTGGGCACATTTACTTTTATGATTTATGTATGTATGCATAAAGAGTTGTGACAAACATTTGCTTTAATCATTAACGGGAACCGATTGCCAAAGACTTCAAATGCCCTGTTTCTCAATATTTCTTGCAGCCTTAGTTAAGCACTCGAAATGTTAGCGAACTTTATTTCATGAGTTTTGTTCAACAATTTAATATGGTTATTTAAAAGCGCAATTAAGTCAATATTTACGCTGTGGCACTTTAATGAGTTATGAAGTTTGCCTTAAGAGGCTAATGGGGCCTATATAAAGCGCCTTCGGCTTGAACCAAGTGTCCAAGCATCTAAGTATCTGGAACTTATTATCGATTGCAACAAT